TAGTGCAGATTTTCTAGCGCTAAAATCTAGAAAAATATCCGGATTAGAGTAACATCCGTATTAGAATAACTTTTGTAATGCGTAATTACCACTGGGGTGGAATAACCTCTGGACTGTGATAACCTCATGACCGTAGGCGAGCAAATTCCTGGGGGGGGGCAACATCTCATGACTCAACTGTGTAATGATGAGCGACAGGCGCAGCTCTTTATCGACGTCCATAGTGTGGTAGGGGTGGGTCTGAGACAAGGCTTTCACGGATAAATAACCAGAAAATCACGTTAGGGTTATTTACGATTATTATCTAAGCTTATCTTAATTTTGCTCCAAAATCTAGTGGGGGTGGCAGCTCGCTTGCCCCCCACAGGCTACGGCCCTGAACCTCTGGATATGGATAACTTCTAGGGTTGTGATAACCTCTGAGGTTGGATAGCCTCTGGGGATATGACATCTTCCTCTCGTATAGATTCAACCGTATCTCTTGTCTTTGATTCTCATTCTAACCCCTCTATTCATGTGTTTTCTTCTTCTTCTCCCCCGGCCGTACTTACAGACTTAATAAATAAAATAATAACAAAATAAATAATTATTAATAAAATAGTATAAAATTATTTAATAAAATAATTTATTAAATAAAATAATTTATTTATTTACTACAGACGTGAATGAATGCGAGCAGGCGGGAGCGTGCGGCGACAACGCGCGCTGTGCAAACACCGACGGCTCGTACACGTGCACGTGTATCGCTGGCTACACGGGAGACGGCGTCACCTGCACAGGTATGTCACGGCCCGTGTCGGGTGTATGAGGGGGGGGGGAGGCTGCGCGTGAAGGGAAGGTCGGGTGAAGGTTGGGGGAAGGTCGGTGATAGGTTTATGTTAAGGAAAGGTCGGGTGAAGGTTAGGGGAAGGTCGGTGATAGGTTTATGTGAAGGGAAGGTCGGGTGAAGGTTGGGGAAGGTCGGTGATAGGTTTATGTGAAGGGAAGGACCGGTGAAGGTTGGGGAAAGGTCGGTGATATGTTTATGTGAAGGGAAGGTCGGGTGAAGGTTGGGGGAAGGTCGGTGATAGGTTTATGTGAAGGGAAGGTCGGGTGAAGGTTGGGGAAAGGTCGGAGATATGTTTATGTGAAGGAAAGGTCGGGTGAAGGTTGGGGGAAGGTCGGTGATAGGTTTATGTTAAGGGAAGGACGGGTGAAGGTTAGGGGAAGGTCGGTGATAGGTTTATGTGAAGGGAAGGTCGGGTGAAGGTTGGGGGAAGATCGGTGATAGGTTTATGTGAAGGAAATGTCGGGTGTAAGTTGGGGAAAGGTCGGTGATAGGTTTATGTGAAGGGAAGGTCGGGTGAAGGTTGGGGAAAGGTCGGAGATATGTTTATGTGAAGGAAAGGTCGGGTGAAGG